ACACAAGGTCGGGGAGCACTGCTAGTAATCATACCTCTAATGACGCATCTTCTTCAATTTGGTCACAATCCCAGGATCATGATTACTGTATGGATGCAACAGCGTCAAAGATGAAACTCCAAACCAAAAAGTGACGCAGGTCTCATGAGTCTGAATCCAAGATGAGGGCAGCTGCATCAATTCCATCACAAAGGAAAAGCTCTCAAACATAAAGCAGTGTCAACCTCCAAAATACAGTCATGTCATTGTGGACACAGAGCCATCTTTACAAGCTTGCACATGACATTCTGAACAAAATTTAAATGTTGTGTGCTGCAACCTTTGCTCCTTTTTAGCGATTGTTAGTTAAAGTCCTAAATGAACTCTGTTCATGCATCAGTGATGCAAAATTGAAGAAAGGGCCTGGACCCATATATGCTCCTGCATTTCTATGCTCCATTGCCCTTATGTGGTTTCTATAGATTTAAGCATGTTCATACTGTTTCTGAACTTGAAATCTGTTACTGACCCAGTTTGTTCATTGACTCTGCTTTGTATTACACTGTTTTCTGTGTTTTGATCTGGCTATGTATTTGACTAGGTGTTCAACAAATATTTATGGTGTATTTTTGAAGGGATGTACAGTTGTGGCATCTTAATTCATATACAGCATACCTATAGTTACCTTATGATTCTTAATCGCCGAGAATTCTTACTTAATCCACAGAGTATTTCTGATGTACATTTTCCTTTTGTGTTTTGTTATTGTACAATAAAGAACCATTGTTTGTATCAGCAAGACATGCATAATTTATAATACTTAATTTGCCTCTTCTTATAACATTTCCTGTTCAAAAATCTATAAATCTTTTAAATAATGAATTACTGTTTAGTAAATCAGAAAGTTGTGCGTTGATACTTATCATCTTTGTAGAGATTAGAAAGGCTTACTAGGAAAATGCTGAAAAAAGGTTTCTTAAAATATATGAATACTTGAGAACAATATAGTCACATGTCCTCTTGCAGTAAATATCATAAATCTAGTTGTTAATTTTAGAGGTTGGCATGAGTTTAGTTTATTTTTAAAGATGAAAAAAGGCTAAGTATCGGTTTTACCATTTAAAACCATACTGACAGTTTGAGAAGAAATATGGCACTTTACAAATAAATTTCTTATTTTTGTTCATATTTGTTCTCATATGGTCTGTACAGTAAATGTATGTAATCACATAATTTTATCCATATATCTGAGAATGTATAGAGTTAATTTATGTTTTGTATGTTGACTGTGTATGTTTTGTCTTATGCCCCTTTATTCATTATTATGTGTAAAACCTTTGGATACATACAGTTGAAACATCTTTTTTGAGCAGAACCCTTTTCACCTCTTGCATTGGTCAACATTATTTTGTCTGTGAATGACTTTGTTATTTATCCGTACTATAAAATTATAAAACAGTGAGGGAAGTGTTGGCATTCGAGGAATGCTAATAATAACATAAAACTGTGGTAATCAAATAATTGTGTTAAATGAAGAAGTTGCTTAAATCATGTCAATACTGCTTACATAACACATTGTTTAAAGGGGTGGCGAAGGCAGTTCTAGGTTTTCGGGGGGGGGGGGCTGATTCTGCTCCAGTGTTTTCAGTATATTACTACTAGAGATGTCGCGAACCGTCCGCGAACTTCTCGTGAACGGTTCGCCACGGTTCGCCACAAGCTGTTCGTGGCGAACTCCGGTCAGCTGACACGTCCCGGCCAATCTCCAGCAGACCCTCCCTCCCAGACCCTCCTACTTCCTGGACAGCATCCATGTAGGAGGGTCTGGGAGGGAGGGTCTGCTGGAGATTGGCCGGGACGTGTCAGCTGACCGGAGTTTGCCGCGAACAGCCTGTGGCGAACCGTGGCGAACCGTTCGCGAGAAGTTCGCGGACGGTTCGCGACATCTCTAATTACTACCACTATGTTGGACAGAATCAATATTGATATTGATAATACGATGTATCTGGGTGCAGTGAGCAGTCCTTCTCTCAAACATTTTGAAGGCAACCTTAAAACAAACGTATTTTTGCTGTGATGTTTTCTCCAATTGCAACATAAACAACAAAACACAGAAATACAATTATATATACATGAAATTTGTTTTAGTATAATCTGTTTATGAAAAATGTGTCACTTTTTATCCAAAATCAACATTTTGAAAAAAAGCTCACCTATTCATTTAATAATTTCCTTTATATCCTCAAAACACGCACACTGACATTCTTAGGTCATATGTGGATCCATTAGGTTTACAATCAACTGTCTAAAAAATGGGTTAAAGATATGATAGGTGGTAATACGTCTGGCATTAAAGTGGTTAAAAGGACTCTGTAAGCACTGTAACTGCTTCATTTCATTGAAGTGGTTGGAGTGTCTAGAGTCCCTTGGTGCCATTGTTCTATTGAGCCTCAAGTCATTTTTAATGTTTTAAATCAAAATGAGAGTCCCTAGCAGCCTATCCCATCTGACCATGTGATCTTATTAAGAAGGTCTGGTTTGGTAGATGTTTGGCTGTTCATCATCTTACAGAATTGCAACCGACGGGTCTGGGTCGTCCTCCAGAAGACCATGTAACAGTCTTGGAGGGTACAGCTTCAATTTCACTTAAAGCATTAAATTCAATATCCGTTCACGGTATGGCTGCTGAGACGCACATTATGTGGACTTTTCAGATTGTTAACAAAGGTCAAAGCAACTTTCATGTCATTTTCCTTTGTCATAGATGTCCGTTGCTTAAAATGTATCTCTAATATGATACATTTCCAGACATGTTGGTGTAGGAGTGTCAAATGCTTTTTGCCACACTTTGCGCACTCGCTTGGCATATTCAGTCTTCCAGTGCTGCTTTAGAATACACTGCTAAAGAAAAATAATTATTTTATCTGCCCTTCACTATTCTTTCCAACTGCCACACTGATATTTTAATGCCAGAAATTGAACTGCCACTTTGTTGTGTGTCAGTGTGTATGTGTACCCATATGACATCCATGAAATGAAATAATGTCCAGCATTTTGCAAACCCCCATAGGAAAGCATTGTTTTAATGCTTTCCTTTGGGGGAGGCTTAATGCGCATGATGTCCAAGAAGGTAGAGGCGGAGAGAGCGCCGATGGACCTCAGTGCTAGAGTAAGGTGAAGGTTTAAAGGGTTATTTATCCCTTTGACAGCCATGGGGTGGGTGAAAGGGGGCAGGGTTGGGGTGGTAGTGGGATACTATAGTGTTGGGAATACAGCTTTGTATTCCTAACATTATAGTGTTCCTTTAGCACTACCAGTTTCCAAAGCAGGTTTCTGAATATGAAGTATGCAGAATCATCAATTTATAATGGATGTGAAAAAACTCCAAGGGTGCATTCCATCACCGAGGGAATACTCTGAGCACACTGATTATATTATATCAATTCATTGCAGGCATCAACCTTCTGTTCTTACTAAATGTGACATCCTGCTAATTCGCAGACTTTATTTTTACATTCTGGAGACTTTTTTAGAAATCCACATTCCAAGAAATGTCATTAGTTTCCTTATCAATGCCTTATCGATGCTTATTACATTTTGTAACACCTGCTGTACGTAAATTAAATGGCCCTTCTTTGCTAATATGTCATGCACTATCTGAAACACATTGTACAAGAAAGGTATTCTCTCAATATTTCCAAAAATGGTGAACAAATACATTATAATTATCTATATTTACATAACTTCAAAATGTTTAGCCCCTCCCCATTCATTAAAATTTTATTTTATCCATTGTATATGTGTCAGTGACACTTCCTTTGTTTCAAATACATTTTATGCTAATATTTTTGCATAAAATAACTCAACAATTAAGTCATAATGGTATACTGACATAACACAGGTCAATTACAAAGATGATGTATGTTGATTAAGGGTCCTGTTTGGAGAGAATTGTATTTAATGCAGACATTTAGTTTTTACATTATTAAATGTGGGCAGGGCTGAGTGGCTAAAAACACTGGGGTTAACCAACCTCAGTGCTCCCGCCTATCACTGACTTTCACGTTGGACACAATCCCACTTGATAATGTGGTAGTGGAGTTTTTACATTATCAGTACTGCTGAGATGCAGCAGGTTATGGGTGTTGGGGAGTGCCATAATTTTTGTCAAACTCCAAAAGACATGACAAAATAAAAAGCAGATGATGCCCATAGATTTACAGCACCATAACTACTACAATAAACTTTACTGGTAATGGTCCTTAAAGTCTCCCTTTTGCATCTCTACTTCTAATTTAACAAATCTTAAACCATTGTATTCTATTTTCACGATTTCAGTTACGAAATAAAAGCAAAACAAAACTGTTGCAAAAGATCCTGCTAAATGGGGCTGCTTTAATTTTTAGTAGATTAAATCAACATCATTTCCCAGGATTATCTGAAGCCCATTTAACAGAATATCATACTAAAGCTAGATAGATCAAAAATATTAAAGCAAAACCCTCAGTTCTGAGTATAATTAGTAATAGTAATAATTAGTACAGGTAATGCTCTGGACTCCAGGATTCTGATAGAATTTCAATTTGTTACCGTAACGAATAGGAAGTAGGGAGAAAATATTGCATAAAATGTGATTGTATGGGGGGTGGAGCCAGCAGCCATTCTGATTGGACGCGTCCCAAGTGAGCTCCGAGCTGTAAAAGCAATTAAAACCTGACAATCACCGCCAATTAATCGCTGCCTGACCCGTGAGGAATGAAACCGACTCTTAACACAATGGGCTGTAAGAGCAAAAAATACAAGGTGGACAAACCTACCATTACCGCTGATATTGGCGACTTACTGTGGAGGCCACAGGAATCCCAAAGACCTGTCATGGCGCCCATGTCAGAGGGGCCTTCCCGCTAGTCCAGCAAGGAATATCTAGGGGACATTGGCGAGTCAGAGCTGAAAGCGGAGAGGAGGAGAGCTGACATACCTCATGCTTAACCTGGAGGGCAACCGAGGGGACTCTAAAAACCATGCTAGATGACCTTTGCCGCAACATTGCAGCCAACATCAATATCTTCAAGGAGAAGATCAACGAGGTATCCGTGCGCATCCAAGACATGGAGATTACCCCTGCAGCCCATGAGACCCGGCTGACAACTCTGGAGAGTGAGCTCTCAATACTGAAGCGAGACCAAACCCTTGTCCACCACTGCATGGTGGCAATGGAAGAACACAGGAGGTGGAAGAATGTAAAAGTTTGGGCCTTGCAGAATCAATCACACTGGCAGAGATACCTCACCTGTTCCGGAGACTGCTGATGAAGCTTTTCACGGCCAAGCAGGCAAAAAATATAATCCTGGATGGCTACTACCAACTGCAAGCACAACAAGCAGGCGCAACAGGAATGTGCATGGATGTAATTATACGCTTCCAGCACAGCCCTGACAGGCAAACATTCATGGCGGCTGTTCATTGCAAAACTCCATTCCACTTCGAGGAGCATTCCCTCATATTCTTTTCTTACCTGTCTAGAGCCACTATGTACTGGAGGAGGTCACTGAGACCTTTAACATTAGAACTTGCCAACCACATGATTCCCTACAAATGGGGCAGTCCAAGAAGTTTCCTGATACCCCTTGACTCTGTGACGTTGAAGGTCCAAGAAGCTTCAGAGATGAACAGTACTCTGCAAATATAATGCTACCCACCGCCGCGGAGGCTCCGCAACCACTGGAGCGCCAATTGAATCCGAGAATTTGAAACCCTGCTGAAGTTCGCCCATTTGTCCCAGCCGGGCAGCGTGGAAGCCCTGCATCTATGGCTGTTGCCTGAGGAATCACTAGTTCCCACACATGCTACTGCCTTGCTTAGTTTGTTTTTATTAGTTTGTTTTAACTTACTTTGTTATTTACATCTATAGGCACATATGCTCCTAAGGGACACACTCAAAGTTATTTTTAGTACCCCTTGCTGGCTATAGGGATTTACCTCCCTATAATTTCCTTACCCCTTTACCCACCTCATAACTCCTCCTTCTCTACTTTGATCCACCACAGTGGGAAAAGCCTCTTGACAGTCTTAACTAGACTCACTATTCTGTACTTCACTTATTGATAAGAGGCCAGAGGCCTTAAATGCCCCTCTCACAGCCTATGTTTTTGTCTAAGACTCATAGGGGTATTGTGCTCAGTCCACCTCTGATCACAACAATCTCTTATTTACACATACATAAAATCCTCATTCCTCCCAACTTTACTATCAACACACTTAGCTTATGTTTTTGGAATGAGAATAAAGAAAGAAAAAAAAAGGCAATTTTATATTGCTACAGGGATAAGCACAAGCCATACAGCTCTTCATTCATACAAGAATTTTCCACTGCATTCGCACAGAAGATTGTCCAATTGAATGTGTAGTTTTAAACATATATAAGGATTTCCATGGATCATTTGTTTGTCAATGTGAAAAGGTTAAACTATAAAACATTCCCGTTATTACTGTCGATGACCCTTGAGTGATGTTAATGCACTCTGCCTGGTTCTGATAACCACTTTCCAAAACCTCAGGATCATGACAAATACAGATGTTCGCCTAACAAGTGCATTAGTGGGAAGTCAGCAGAAAGTGACCCTGTGTATCACGTCTACCTGTGGAAGCCATTACCATATACTGAGACGCACTCCACACACTAATGCAAAACTAATGAAGTTTGATTCACCTTGTCTGGGAACTTAATGCATTTCCTTTGGTGGAATCACATCATCTTGGGTTTAAAAAAAAAAAATATCACATCATCTTGGATTTCAAAAAATCATAATGTACAATACTGAAAAAGAGCGTGCTATTTTAAGTAGAAAGTATTTTTGTATAGGTAAGCAAAACTTATTTGAAACTACTTAAATCGTTCACTCTGCCAATTTAGAAAAAAAATGTCAGTCAAGTACATTATTGCAGAAATCTCTTGTTACTGTTTGGTGTATTGATATGTTACTAATTAAAAAATATTACATAGTACACTTGGACGGGCCGTAATGCTTATCTTGTGCAATATCTAACCTAAGTAGTTTTAATGATGACTTTTGGTGATAATGGCACTTCAAGGAATTTTGTCACAAGTTTACGGAATATTTTCTATTTAATGAACCTCATGCTCAGGCAGAGAAGGATTATAATTTTACAGGGCTCCAGAGAGATTATCAGTTTGGAGCAGCCCCTTCATTCTTTACATAGGGATGGTTAATGGTAATGAGCAAATTCATAGTTCCAGGACCCGGCTGCCTAGGGTATTCTTACAGATTAATCCTACTCTGGGCTCAGGGCCTGAACTCCTGGAGAACACACAGAACAAGCATACATGGTTATTTACTAAACCCCATTGTACAGCGCTAGTGAATTTGCTGGCGCTATATAAATAATAAAATAATAATAATACTAATAAAGTGAGAAATGTTAGAAAGTCAAATCAGAATCAAAATTTTACATACCATGTATCTCTTCAAATATTGTTATACTTTGTGTATTTTATTTTATAGACATCTTTTTCTGCATCTGTTATATACTAAAGCTCTGTGAATCAAACTTGAGTCGAGAACAAAGAAAGTGGATTCTAAAGCAGTACTGGAAGACTGAAAATGCTGATCTGGTGCACAAAGTTTGGCAAGAAACAAATTACACTCCTCCACCAATACCATTTATTATATTGGAAATAAATTTGAAACAATGGTGCAGTGCTTAATGCACTGAAATCTGGACATCTATGACAGAAGAAAATGAGGTTAGAGTTGATTTGACATTTGTAAACAGTCCAAAAAAGTCCACACGATGTGCGTCTCAGCAGCAGTCCATAACATGAACTTCCTAGCAATGCTTAATGCATTAATTAAAATTGAAGCTGTGCCATCCAAGACTATCCCATCTTCTGGGGAAGCAATTCTGTGAGCTGATGCCTCATCAATCCTCTAGCAAACCAGACTTCCTTGATAGCATCATCTGGTTAGATGGGGCGCTTTTCAAATTTTCAGGCCACTTGAACAGGCATTACTTGGGCAGATGAATATCCTTGTTTGACTATCACATCTCAACTGAACCAGCCAAGTATCACAGTGTGGGTTGAACCGCCCAACAAAGATGTAAGACCTGTTTTCTTCCATAGAACTGTGGATAGTAACATGTACTTAAAATTGTTTGGCAACGTGGCAGTGCCACAACTCAGAAACAGAGCTAACTTCGCCAAACAAGATGGGGCACCTCCTTACTATGGTTTTGCAGTATGGGGCTACCTGGACAACACCTTCCCAAAGCATTGCATCCAATGACATGGCAGCATTAAATGGCTGCCACCTTCACCATTGGACTTTTTGGGGGGGCGTCGTAAAAAATAAGGTTTTAAAAAGAAGGCCCAAATGAATGAGTTCATCTTGGAAGTATTTATGGACATTGATGTGAACCAAAATTAGTGTTGTAATGTGTGTCACACTGTACTGGACAGGTTCGAGGAATGTTGCAACATTGATGGAAGGCATTTCAAGCACTTATTAGATTAAAAAGTGCTAAACAAATGTAAATGTTATAATGTAGCAAGGCAACACTATAAATATATATCAAATATATGTCAAATAACTTATTCAATAACAATATAATGATATACTGCTCACTTTAATGCTGTTCAATGCAGATATAGTTTTCTATTACTTGTTGGGTCAAGTGAAACACTTATTGGTGGGTCTATACAACCACGCAAATTGTAAGAAATTGTAAGAAATGTCCCTAATTTGAGTTTTTTAAATGAAGAGTATTTACTTGTGTCACCTTGCAAAAAAGAATCATCATATACAGATTGCTAAATGTAATATACATGACAAGGTAAAATATGGGAGAACTTCCTTTATCTTTGTCACAATCTGTTCCGTTCTGTTCAGATGTTTGACCTTGGCTTCTGGTATCAAGTACTCTTTTTACAATTCTTGTTTAGTTTTTCTTGGTTTTTCTGGTTTTCTATTCTATGTCTGGTTTTCTTTATGCTGGGTTTTCTGGGTTCATTCCTTTATTCCGTTCCTGGAATTCCCAGTTTCCCGGATTCCTTTTATTTTTTTTGATGAAACTCCCGTTCCTTTGTCATTAATCCTTTTGTTTCAGTTGGTTCCTGTAGGCAGTGGTTTCATGTCCTCTGCCCCTTTCTTTGCAGGTAAGTACTTTGTTTGTTTTATTGTTGTTTATTTGGTCATGCATATCTAGGCAGTTAGGACCATCCGTAATTGGAGTACTTTGGCGCAGTGGTGGGCTGCATACATCTTGGCCATTTATGTATGTCTAAATCTCTAATGTTTTACATATATAGTACTTAGTTATGTCTCCTCTTGCCTTATATCTCTTGTCTTGTATTATTTTGTATTCCCAGTTCATGTACAGTCCTGTCCTGTCCTGCCCATGTTCTGTCAATGTTTCCCTTATGTATTGTGTACATGTTCTGGGTTCTCCGGTTCTGGGTTCTTCTAGTTTTGTCTTGTTTTCTTGTTTGGTGCCTATTCTAGTCTTACCTTGATTCTAGTACTGGATACATCTCAGCTTATCATTTAGCTCCTGGCATCCGCTTAAGCTGCATCAGGGTTCTGGTTCGTGGCTGCACAAACACTGGTGCTCAACACCAGGGGGTGTGTGGTTACCCTGCACGAGGCCCTGACAGTCCATAACCACACTGAGACTCCCATCATCTACATCAGGCACACAGGGGTCCCGGTCTTCAGACCACCACCACCACCCGTGATAATCTTTATCAGATGTTTCCTGCTTATAACTATATGTGTTTGTTGTTGGTGCCTGAGTCAGCAGTTTATATGAAGAGAGTGAGCCTTCTTATCATTCCCTGTGACTTTTCTTAGGATGTTAGAAACGGTAATTGCTTAACTTAAGATGTTCTTTTGAACATGGGCTTACTCTTCCATACATACATAATTCATGTTTGGCTTTATGGAAAGCATAAGTGCTCCAACGACTTGTTCACCATTACATATGTAGATCTTTCATTCATAGCTGTTTTTAAACTACTTAATGTAATTGAGCTCTAGTTAACTATTTTAAATGGAACATTTCAACCTACAAAAAACACAATAACCATCCATGTCCCATTTAAAATCCTTACCGTATATGCAATGTCAAGTGGAAACACAGATATTGACTGAAACCTAATTAAGGCATCTTATAATGTTGATCACATAGCTACACTACGTACAACAGAGAAATTAACCTGTTTAATCAGTTTTGTACTGTTTACCAATAATACAGCAATAAACTGAGAAAAGGAGACTAAAAGGGGGTTGAT